CCCCAAAACCCCAAAATCCCAAAACCCCAAAACCCCAAAACCCCAAAACCCCAAAACCCCTGCTTCCCAGCCCTAATAGAATTGTATAATAAATATTCCACCTCTCCAGCCAAGACAACTCAGAATCTTTCAAAATGAACTTTCAAGCTAAATACGTTGACAATTTCAGTACAAATTGGACTTTATATAATGAGAAGTACAGAAAAGGGATACTGACACGGTGTAATTATGGAAAGGATCGGGATATCGACGAATTTGACCCAAAGTCTTATTATGGATTCAGCTCTTCGGATTTTGACTCTAGTGAAGACGGATGTGGGTATGAGGAAGGCAAGCGAGGGCCACATGCGAGTAAGTGAGGGAAGAGAGGTCTTGGAGAGGGGTTTTGAGGTCTCTGAAGGGGTCAGGAGCTTTGTGAGGCGTGAAATTTAATGGAAGATTTGGGCATTTTTTATTTTGTTAGAATTTAATTTTGATTTTTTGTTCTAGTTGGATCAAAGTCTTTAAAAATGAAAGTCAGAGAGCTTTTAAGGGATAATTATGATGAAAGCGATAGTGATGAGCACAAGAGGTGGGAGAAACAGAAGAGGTATAATAAGAAGAGACATAAATAAATATAAAAAGATGTGTCAAGAGTTTCCTTCCCAGTTCCATAAGATGGATATTTGAGTGATAATCACCATTTGTTCATACCTTGGGGAACCTCAAAATATTTTACACTTCTTGAGCTCTGAGAAATGATTAAGCAAATTTAGAAACAACTATCATATTTGGAAGCAGTGATTTGAAGCATGGTACTGCTATAAAGCACAGGATAGGACAAATTCTAGGCTTAATCTTTGCAAATTTGAAAGCTCTTTTAGAGAAAATCCTCTCTCAGAAGGAGCCTTTACCTTTAAAGGACTCATTTGGAATCACTTTGAACTAATGAAGTCATTTTGATGGAAGGAAATCCCGATACAACCTCAAGCTTCAAGAATAGGCAATGATTATTCACATGATAGAATCTCTGGGGTTCATTGTTACAATAAAATATTGTTGGATTACTCCCAGCAAAAGCTCCAAGTGAAATTAATATTTGTTCCAGAAGATTCTTATTTCTTGCTAGTGCTATCTGAAAATAAGCTTCAAGTGTATAAAATGAACACAGGAAAAGAGAAAGAGTTAGAGTTATGTTATTCCACTGAATCATTAAACTTTTTGCAATGCCGTTTAAGCCACACCAGCCCAGAATACCTGATAATTATGAAGGATCAGCATATTGAAAGAATCAACTTGTTAGAAATCAGCAGTATGTCTGACCACGAAGGGTCTCAACATATTTGCTCTGTTAGCGAGTTAGAAGGAGAAGAGAGTCTTAAGAATTTTGTGATATGTAACCAAACTGAGTTAATGCTACAAACTTCAGAAAATTTGAAGATTTTTGATATAAATTCTGAAAAGATAGTGTTTAGTGCCAAAATGTCATATCCAGAGGTAAGTTTGAACCCTCCAAATTTGTAAACTATTATAGAAGAAGTCATCATTAGGGAAGATCAAGGCTATCGATCATGAAAGTATCCTAATACTTAATCCCGAAAATGAAGTCTGCATGGTAGATACCAGAGAAGGCAGGATCAGATCAATCACCGACGATAAGATTTCATCTTTTGACATCAATGGAAATGATATCTATTGATTATCACAAAGAAAGATATGCTTCTATAACTTAGACTTGAGGATGGCCGATTCAGAAATTGAGATAAATGGAGAACTAAATCTAAAATTCTACGATAGAGATCCCTATGAATATATAAAGGCAGATAGGCACAGAATTGGGCTGATGAGTCAAAATTCTCTGATATTTTCAAACCATGGGGAAATTAACCAAACAAGTAAGACCCTTATGTAAAATATAGTGGGGAAAGAAGTTGTTAATTACTCACGAAGACCAACTAATTCATTAGATTTTGACCTGAAGTGCAAGAAATATCCCTCAGACCCCTTACAGCTTTGTGATTTTGATTATTTCGACAGGTTTTACTGAACAGCAACTAGGAATGTGATCCAGACCCCTGAGACACCAAATTATGTTGAGCTTTTTGAAGTTAAGCCGGTTAATTCTTATCTTATATAAATAAATTACCCTGAAAGAAATATTTTCTTTATTATTTTAGGAGTGGATTATTGATCAAATATTGATAAAGCGATTGCAAATCCTTGCACTATAGGGTCATGGAGGATACATACCTATGGAGAAAGGCCACTGGATGTTTAGAGCAAAGTGCTTATCATCTATTCTTCCAAACTATAATGGGTTCATCGGGAATTAGACCTACCTGAAGGAATATCAGATTATTGTTCTTGTTCTACAACAGAATTAGGTCGGATCGAAGGAAAACTTACATTCAAGTGATGATCGATAGTTTCATTAAGATAAACTTTTACAAGTTGGCAATTCTTTATACTGGCTTTTTGAACCCTGTCATCAAATTTTAGGTAATATTTTTGAGCTTTTTCATTCCATTCCGGCTCTTTCTTTTGAAAGCATGTAATAGTACCGTCATATTTCGAATCCTCTAGCATACGTAACATTGATTCTTCATGGTCTAAGGGTTTGAATTCAACGATATTATTAGCTACATCGACCTTAGGAATTCCAACTATCATGTCATCAAAGTTGTCTCGATTATTGGAGTGAGAGGTCATAAGTCTTTTATTTAAAATGAATTGCACTATTTAGGTGAACATGCGCACTTACCCAATCTCATTGCGGATCTTGCTTCTCGATATGATCGCATTTGACTTAAAATTCTCCCCGTTATTGAAGATGAGGTACTTTTTCTTTCCTTCTTGGGCTCTTAATTTTGAGATGAAAGAAGACTTCTTCCGTTCAAACTCGCCTTGCTTGCTAGAAATTAAATAGTTTGACAGCTTGTTTCCAGGCCTTTTCTTCGCATTTACTAGGAACTCGTTTGATGAAGTGAAATGAAGGTAATATTTGGGATACAGCCTGTTAAACCCAGTGTTTTTCCGTATCAGTGTTAGAGACAATACTCCTGCTTTTCTTGGGATGGGAGACATTAAGGCCTTTGTTCTTTCAAATTCATTAGGATTATCAACAGATAGTTGCTCATAGAAGTTTCCAAGAATGAGAGAGCCCCGCTTAGCCTCCTCTTTGTAAATTTCAGGATCCTGGAGCAGCTTTCTATATCCTGTTAAACTGGAGAATTACAGTGTGCTTCCTCTTGTGCAACTATCTTCTTTAATTACCGCCTTTACAAAGGACTTTGAATCAGATTGCTTTCTTCTCGGTTTCTCCTTCAAAGTCTTTGGTTGCTTCTCTTCCTCGTCCTTATCTGGTACTGCTTGAGGAGGCTCAGACTGTTCCTTCCTTTTCTTAGAGACTTTCTTGTGTTTCTTTTCATTGTCTACGAAAGATAAGTCAGTAAGAGTAAAGAAGTATCTGCTTACTTTCAGTGAAATCTTCTGGAATCAAGTTACTCCTATGTATAAACATTAGCAATTGGTTAGATTTTCGAGGGAAAATATTGACCTACATCTTGAAATCTATCATGCTTGAGTTTGCAGCATAACCAAGTTCATGCCTCCTGGGATTCTTATTGTGCATATGTTTACTCTTTCTTCTAGACTTCTTGTTTTTCCCAATCTAGACTGAAAATGGAAGAATTTACTTTGAATTTTGGGGAGATAGGCCTATTTTCTTTCGCTTTGTTCCATTTTTGCTTCATCTTTTGGAGAAAACCACTCGCGTCATCTTCTATCTCTTCAACTTTGAGCTTGTCTTCATCTACAACGCTCTTGTTGTGTGAGTCTAGAAGATAAAATTTAGAGAGTCTCTCTTCATAGAAATACATTTTGATGAACTATTCAGACAAGATTTGTAGAAAATATGAAGATATTAGAATAATTTTAATTGTACCTTCACTCTCATTATCTTTGAAGTTCAGTATGCTCTTGCTCTTGAGGAAAGAGTTTTTCCTTGTCTTCTTTCGTATTCTATGATTTTAAACAAATAACTACTTTTTAAGCTCTTGGCTTCTGAAATGCTCAGCAAGATTACTGACCTTGGTAATACTTCCTATGCGGACTTTGGTACCTTCAGAGTTTTTAGAAGATAGTTTCCGAAGTCCAAAGCCGCTAGCCCTACCGATACTATTCATCCTTGATTTGCTATATATAAGTACGTATGAAGTACCGGCTTGGATGAATCCCTGAGAGATTTAATCTTTTTCGGTCAACTTGTAGCTTCATAATTGAACTAGCTACATCATTTTTGGAGATCCGCTCCATTGAGCTTCGTAATTCAAAGCTTTTCCTCTTAAAATTTCTCCGTTGTCGATTACGTATCTGTTCACTAAGTTTATTTGTGGTTTAGGTATAGATGTACAAGCTTACATCATAATATTTGTATCACAGAAACCTGTGAGCATCGTTGAGGTCTTTACAGTCGGAGAGATTACACTCGAACTTGGGTTGAAATTAATCTTCCTGCTATACATCGGCTTTAAAGAATCATTCAGTTGTTTTTTAGTAACTTTTGGAGGTAAGAGATTGGGAATTGCTTCTTCTCCTATAAGCATCACTCCATGAAGGTTCTAGAACTTACCTTTTTCAGAAGAGTTGTAGCGATTTGACATTTATAATAAAGTCAATCGTAGATTATATTTAAGGGGTTTTGGGGTTTTGGGGTTTTGGGGTTTTGGGG